AGAGGGGAAGAAGAATAAACGAGAAGAATATTGAAGAAAGGAAAACGTTGCTACCTCTTAGGTAATTTGACGAACAGCTTGCGGCCAGGACTTTGAGAGATGGATGCTTATGAATTCTGTTTTGTAACGCCCAATAACCAAAAGAAAAGAGTAATCAGCATCATCACAATGACAGAAAAGCAAAGAAGAGAAGAAAAAAAGGGAGAATATGAAAAGGAATTTTCTATCGTACTGATTGATTGTTGTTTGACGAATAAGTTCATCGGATCGTACCCTTTTTATAGGAGGGAATTCATGCAAGTTTAGGAAATTTCTTTTCCTCTCCTAATATGAGGAGAAATCGTGGTGTATCTCGAAATTTCCCAAATCTATCATTATATTAAAAGATTAACCATTTAACACTTTTAGCAAGTTTTTCCCGCCAAATACACTTAATGTCTCCTAAAAATAGAGCAGCATTAAATGTTGCCCTTAAATGATAAACAAATATTACTTTTTTTATGATTGATTTAAATTTACGTCTGTTTAAAAGTAAAAAACTACTTTTGTAATTTCAACAAATTTGTACTCTTTAATGTACGGCTGAATTAAAATTAAGAATTTACTTTTGTATTTTCACAAAAAATTGTATAAAGAAGTATGGCTGGAATAATAATAAAAAATTAATTTGTTAACCATATTTTGCACTCATAGATACGAATTCTCATCAAATTCAAAATTTAAAATTGTGAAGAATGTATATAGATGTGGACTGATTGAAGATATATGATTCCTTAAATTAAGGAATTTTTTTCGGTAAAAAAAAAATATATAAACTTTAAATATAGATTTTATTAGTAGTGTATACCAAAAAATATTGTTACATTTAAAATCCATATGAAGAAGAATTCTATTAATTTTCAAATTCAGCATCTCATAAAAATAATATAATACACTTTTACATTCTATGAAACAATATTTAAAACCCACCGTTCAACATGCATAAAATGTAAAATTACCTAACATGAATCATTTTAACTTTCTAAAATCAGTACACAATTTGCTCGGTATGTACTAATAGTCTAATAGTTAAGAGTTAATATTTGCTATGACATCTATTGGTTGGAAAGAATTCCATTTTGTATGGAATTCGAAATAAAAAAACATATTCTGAAAATCAAATCTGATTTAGAGATCGATTTCTTAATGGCCTTAAATTATGCAGATATATTGTTTCAGTTTTTAGGATTCTTTTTTATGATCTCAGTCTTTGCATTATATGAAAACTATACTTATATAAAAAGCCATCCTATTTACAAGAAATAGTAGGTAGAAAAGTCAAAGGTAATTAATGCTTGCTGGAAATAGAATGATATTAATTACAAATTTGTTTTGGTATTTATAGGCTTGACATTAAACATTTGTTATGGAATAAAAATCAGAACCGATTTTTTTACTTTTGCTGGAAAAGTCAAAGGTAAGTATAGATTTGTTTTATCCCATAACATCGGTTTAGTTAAGAAAATCCCATCAAATCAGTTTTATATGTCAAGCCTATGAATAAAGATTTAATGGGTCAAAATTAAATCCTTATTTTACGTCACCCATAAATAAAGTAGATGTCAAGTCTAAATTGAAGGGTGTAGTTGTCTATATAGCCATTGATTTAAGTAAACACATCTAATGTTTAAAGTTTGTATAGATTGAAAATTCCTTCTTATCTTTTTACAAAAAATCGTATTATTATTGTATGGAAAATCAAACTCATAATATTGTGTACAATGAGGTCTTTAATAATATATGATTGTTTGTTTGTCGAATACTATCTTATTGTACAATTTTTCTACGTATTATAAAACTTGTATTGAATATTGCATCTTATAATATAGTATTCCTCAAATAAATATATCCCGTGTCTCGCACGGGTCACGTACTATATATATCCCGTACATTTTTCTGTATTCATGCATATAATTATAAGTCTGGATAAATAGCCTTAAAATTGTGCACCCCGTGCATCGCACGGGCTCTGTACTAGTTGAAAGAAATCAGGGAGCAAGTTTCATTGGATGTTTGGAAACAAAATTTGATGTAAAATGCCTCTGTCGTCTGTGTATGTATGCGTGATCATGCTTGGAATGGAAAATAATTAAAGTTGAATTAACTCTGCAGAGTTTGTAAGACTGGAAAGGAAACATGACTTAAGAATAAGCCACTGCCAATATTCTTTGAGGAGAGTTTTGAATCTATTTCCATAATATGAGATATGCAAGAATAATTTTAAGTTGGGAATTGATAATAAAAGCTTGAGTTTGGAGTTTGCAGTAGGAAAGAAATTATTTACATGCCTAAGCATTACTTTTATGTTTGTGCGCATGTGTGTATATGCCCAATCTATATTTGGTGAAAAGATTAAATTTGTTGGAAAAGAGAAAATCCTGTAAGTGTTGGTCTCAATTAAAGTTCAAAGAAAATTGAGAGAAGAGAATTATTTGGTGGCCGAAACATGTTGGGAAGTTCACTAATGGGCCATTTGATTAATGGTCCATGTTTGGAAATTAACTTTGGGAAGTTTATTAATGGGTCGTATGTGTGTGTGTTAATTAATTTAGATTAAGTGGATTTTGGGCCTAGGCTTGGAATTTTGTTCAAGAAGGGTCATTTGATTAATTGGCCCAATCATATATTCAAAAGGATATCGTGACTTATTCACTCCAAGACACGTCGTCCGTGAACAAGTCTCGAGGGGGCATTTGTAGAGACATAAAAATTGTGGCCAATCAAATGGCGCCACGTGGAAATTAATTTATTAAAAATCAAGTCATATTTTCTATTTATATTTTAGGAATTTCCATAAATTTAATTCCTAAATTTAAATAGTTAATTAATTGATATTTTAATATTTTAATTCTTGACCAATCAAATAATGCCAAGTGTCAAATCTTAATTCTTGGTAATAAATCATATGGCATCTAGAAGATCTTGGAAGATCTAAGTAGATCTAGAAGATCTTATGTGAATCATCATGGACCAATCAAATCGTGTCATACGATTCTTAAATTTGGTAGGGTTCTCCATCCTACACCTATAAATAGGGGCTCTCCCTAATGTCAAAAAAACACACATCATATTTCATATTCAAAGTTCAAGAGCTCTAGAGAATTCTCTCGACGAGATTCAAGTGTTCTTGAAGATTCAAAGGCGTTTTTGAAGATTCGAAGCAAGATTCAAGCGCATTCAACCTCAAGACTGGCGTTCAATCCGGAAACAAGCTGCAAAGCCTCCGAATAACGTTAGTAAATTCAAAACCGGCGTGAAGAAGATTCAAGATCTACTTTGCGACGAAGACCAAGAATTCGTGTTCTTCGCGTTCTTGGGATATTTCGACGTTTGATCCGAAATCAAGGCGTTGGCCCTCGGATTAACGTTAATTCAAGTCAAATCAAGTCAAGGAGAAGATCAAGCCGAAGATTTCGCTCCAAGATTTAAAATTGTTCGTGAGAAGAATCAGAGGAAAAATTAGAGATTGTAACCCGCTATATTATTTTGATTCAAGAAATTCATTTGAATAATATTTTTCGTGTTTTTTAAATTCAATACACGAAATTTGTTGTTACACACGCTTCTCACACCTCAACCTTCATCTTCTTCTCACATGGTATATACGCGGAGGGGGTTCAGACCGCGCAAGACTAAAGTTCCATACACTCCTCCTAGTTAGTTGTGTTGAATTTGTGATTTTTATGTTTATTTTGAATGATTGGATTGTATGTATAAACCGAATTATATCGTTTTGAATATATTGTTTGTTCAACAAATTATTATGTTTCATTTGTTTGTTTATATGGTATGTTGGATTGTTATTGGGTGAATATGTTGATAATAGTTGCTCGAACAGGTATATTTGGTTGTGAACAGGTATATGTGGTTGTGAATAGGATTTTTGCTAAAAACGTATTAGTGAAATCAGTTTATTATTTTTTTTTACAAAAAACGTATTTCAACAATACGTTTTCTTTGAAAATTTAGGGCTAAAATTAGGGCAGCAATATCAATTCGGGGCGAAATTTCACAAAAACCGTATTTGCAAAATACGTATTATATTTTAATTTTTTTTTTCTAAAAATATTATTTGCAATAATAGTAAAAATTAATTTTATTTGGAAAACGTATTTGTGAAATACGTTGTATGATTAAAAAATAAATATAAAATTATTTTAATTTGAAAACGTATTCAGGCAATACGTTTTCTATTTTTGCTAATTGAAAATATATTTCGTTAATACATTTTTCTATATTTTAATTAAGTTAATTACGTTAATTAAGTTGACTAATATTTTTTATAAAAACCGTATTCCGTGAATACGGTTTATAACAGAAGACGTATTACGTAAATACCTTTTACAATAAAAAATAATTAAAAACGTATTCAGTGAATACGTGATTTTTATTTCGGTCCACTCTTTTTTTTTTTTGGGTTAGGTAAAAAATTCAAACTACGTAGGCTTGACGCAATTATTATCCTTCTTTTTCTAGGGGAGGACAACGAACGAGTCGGAGAAGTGGTTGAATAACTCTACTCCATTGTTTCCTTTCCCAGCCCCGAAGGTAAGATTCTTAAGAGCAGTATCGACAAAACTTTAGCTTTGGGGGTTATGTAATTTTGTGTTTCTACGAGTATTGGAAGATGGATCATATAGTTCAAATATCCATTTTATTTTCTGTCAATTTAGGAGGTACTTTTGAGTTTTGATTTCTTATCATGGAATTTCACAGTAAAAAGTCCTAGAAATTTGAATTATAGGTTCATACTTAGGAGAAGATGTGCTGATGATCATGTAGACGCCCTGTTTATTTAACATTGGATTGGATTCAGAAGAAATGAAAAGAAAATTAGTTACGTGTAACTTGTTAATAGAAGACATATGTATGCCTTGTGGAGTTAGAAACCTGTTCAAATATCACAAGTTGTAGGCATTGAAAGCAATGCCTAGGGATATACAGCAGGTGGTTTATCACCTTGTTCTGATCAAGGCATAACCTGTCGAGAGGCAATGGTAACTACTGATTATGACCAATTGAGGAGATGGTTCGTTTAAACCTAGACCTAAGCTTGAAAGGCAATCTGCAACCACTGATTATTATATCTACTTGGCATTATTGATTACTTGACTTGTGCTTTTGTCGTGTGATGATTTAGTTGTTTGTGTCTGATATAGCGTAGGAGGTCCATGAACACTCTTGATAGTGTCAGCTTTCCTGCAAATGACAGCCTTTTATGTTCCCTTCCATTTTTCTGTTTGAACATTACTTATAACTCCGTGAACAGATCATCCTTTAAAAGATCTTAAAGATGGGCCAAGATATCTGATGTGTTTGCGATTATTATAACTTTTGGAGGTGGTGTTATTTACCTTCTCGGTACTTTGCATTAACAAAAGTGATTATGTTTACCATCGGTTTTTGAACATTGCCTTTGAGAGTCTTACTTGCAACTCTGAGGGATGTGTAAGAATTTATCTCTTCATTGTTTGTAGATGGAGCGGTCTCTTTCTTCTCTTGCATTTAGAGGTTCTATAGTAGAAGCAGTTGCTGAAGCCAAATTGCAGAAGAAACTTTTTGTAGTCTACACTGCAGGTAAGTGCGCCTTTGACACGGATTTACTTTCATATTCTTTATCAATCAACACATGAGTTCACATTTTTTTGATTCTAATGGATTTAATGATTAATCAACAAGAGTTGCTGTTTCAACATTTCCATTTTCTTTAACAGGTGACAATCCAGAGTCAAAACTTTTAGAAACCTCCACATGGTTCGATCCAAAAGTAGGTTCTCTCTCTAGCACGTGCATGCACACTTGCACTTTCACACTCGCAATAATATAATATTTATTGCCTTTTATGTGTGAATATTTAATTATGGGGTTCCCTAAATAAGGATATGCCTTGTGCTACTGTTCTCATGATCTATACTGTTTCCAGGTTGTGGAGACATTGTCAAAGTATTGCATTTTGTTACACATCTTGGAAGGAAGCGCTGATGCCTCAAATTTTTCAGCTATCTGTATGCTTTCTTGAAAATGCTTACTGATCACACACACATCCCTTTCAATTTCTAATTGACATCAATCACAGTAAGGCTATTTGTGAAGTAACTGTAGAGGGAAGCTATATATTTTATGTTAACTGTCGAACCAGTTAACCGTAGTGAGTGGGAACTCTTGATCTTAGAGGCCTTAGCACTTCATCTGTTGGCCATTAACTTTTATCTAAGTTAGGATCTAATTATTATTTGAACTATCATTCTGTATGTGTTTATAAAGCTTTTCATTCTATTAAGGATGGCACAATGATTTAGATGTCATCATTTCCTCTTGAAGAAGCTGTTGCATAAATAGATTAAGTTTCTATCGTTGCCTCAATCACTGCAGATCCACAGCATTCTGTTCCTTGCATAACTGCTATTGGATACAATGGTGTGCAGCTTTGGAAAAATGGTATGTATCTAAGTTGAGCGGTACATTGTATTGTGATACAGATGCTTAGTGTTCTTATTATTATTTTTTTAGTATTTTTTTTTAACATTTTATTTTGTTACCTCGTTGAAAAATTCTTAGAGGGCTTTGTCAGTGCTGATGTTTTGGCTTCCAGTCTTGAGAAGGCATGGTTAAGTCTCCATGTTCAGGTGAGTTACGCATGTGCTTGAGCCACTCACAAAATATTTTCCAAACTTAATGTCCTATTGCAACAGTCCTCTTCTGTCAGTTACAATATCAAATGCTTTCATTGAGTTGCCTTTTTGTTTTATTCCCTCATTTTTTATTTTTTGGATTTTTGGAAAAATAAGAATATGAATTTGGATAGTTTGATTCGTTGTACGATGATTATATTTGTTATGATGGTTAGTGTGTGACTAAATTGAGTAAATTCTAATCAGATAGTGGTTGCGTTTAAATATGTGATTGATGATTGGAAATATAGAGAGGACGAGTAGTTGTGCAGAACTTTTTTTAAATTGAAACTATGATTGTTGATGATTGAAAAAGTGAATATAAGATAAATAGCAGAACTTTTTTGAGAATATACTTAGCATTAGTCATTTCCCTTGAAAATAGGAAACAGTTTATATATTGAGATATCAAGCAAATCAGAGGCTTAACTGGTCCTATCTCAGATTTTTTTTACCTTGTGCAGTTTTCTTTATTTCACACATTATTACCAGTTGACAGTTGTGTCCAGATTGATAATGGGGTTATATGTATTTGTTCTATTATGGTTTAATTTTGACTGAGATTGGCTAGGTTTTACTTTTTCTGCAATTTTTTCGTTTAAATACACTCGTGCATTTGCACAGGCAACCTTACTAGTTTATTATGGAAGCAGCTTGCTGAAACCAGGGAAATATATTATCTTCTGCTCCAATTTGACTTTCATTCTTGTTTAGATAATCCAATGAATTTTTATAAGTCCACCACCTCACACCCTTCTTTTGTCTCCTGCCTAATTATTATACATTCCTCATCATCAACGTTCCCCATCTACCATACTATAATTACATCTCAAGTGGGCATCATTTCTTTCTTCATTGCACTCGACTCTATCATCATCCCTACATCATTTCATTTCATTTAGAAATTATTGATTTTTCTGGCATGCCATTATGGCCAATGCATGGATTTCAATTCATTGCTCTTTGAGTGAGGTGTGAATATTGAGTTGAATTTTGTTTTAATTACTAACTGCTATTTGGTATCGGTCCTATTGGATCCTTATGGAATGTTAATGGCGCAGGAGACAACTGCAGCTTTCTTGTCTGCTGCACTTGCTTCTCGAAACCAGCTTGCTTCTGGAACTTCTTGCCCTGCTACATCTGAGCAAGTGACTCTAGGGACGTCTGTATTAACACAATCATTACATGGTGGTGCTTTATCTTCAGATGTTGGACAAATGTTTGATTCTGGGGGAACAGAGGATAGGAACAACAAAGAAGATGTTTCTGAGGTCATTCTATTTCAGTTTTAATAGTTATTTATGCCAGCTGTATTGTGCTGAGTTTTTAATTTGCGCGAATTTGTCATAACAGGTGACATGTGACAACCAGGTTAGTGTGCCTCGTCCAGAACCATCTGTGGCTAATGTGACAGATAATGGTGAAATAGATGGTTCCATTTCTCAAATTGAACCAGAAAGTACACCGAAGAACTATGACAGTCACAGTGATGCTGAAGTTGCTCATCCTGTCTCACAAAAAAAATTGGACTCATCTGATAATTGTTTGGGTAATAGCCATGAAGTTTCTGGAGAAAGGACTGTAACTGAAGTTAGCCAGGTGGGACATGTTTATACAGAGGTTGCTAAAGAACTCGAGAAAGCAGATGCTTCAGATTCTTCTGCCGTTACGTCGAACGATGTTTTCCTAAATATCAGGCTTCCTGATGGTTCCAGCTTACAAGCCAAGTTTTCTATGGCGGACACCTTGAAAATGGTCAAAGATTATATAATCGAGAACCAAACAAGCAGCTTGGGCTCTTTCAGTATAGCAACTCCTTACCCTCGCAAGGTTTTCAATGATAATGGTATTCTCTTATTGCTATTTTATTATATTCGTTTAGCAGTGGTTGTGTATGATTTGGTCAAGAACAGTATCATGTCAAAGTGGGGAGTCATGTCTTTATCTTGTTATCGGCCTTTCTGTGCTGTAGTTACCTGGAGTTTTATTTTCTGTGTGTGATTTCAGATTCTTTTTGAACCAGCTCCAAAGGCAAATTTTTTGATCACCATAGTTGAAGAGAAACAAGTGACTTGTTTTAAATTTCGATATTCAGTCAGAAACACATTGTAGTAGATCAATTAGTCTATTATATAGAAAGATTAGGTGACCGCTTTTTCAGACTAAAGAAATGACTTACTGTTATAATATAAATAATTGGTGAGTAGGGTGTTGAGTGCAAGCTGAGCACTATCTTTATTTCTTTTCAGCAATATTCTTGCTATATTTGCAGCTTCATTGTGTTAAATTGATCATGCTCCTACATTTATTGTCTCTCGTGTTCTATTATGTGCACAGATTTGGACAGCATATTATCGGAATTAGGTCTTCACAATAGGCAGGCACTGGTTGTGGTTCCATATGACAAAAATAATTCCAATCAGAGAGGGGGATTAACGCACCATGAAGCTTATTCCTCGAATGATGCTAACTCCTCTTTAAATGCTAGTGAAGGATATTGGGTATCCGTGAGAAGAATTTTATCTTATGTGAACCCTTTTTCATATCTTAGCAGAAGCCAAACCTCCACAAGTTCTGCCCAGGAATCTCGAATTGGCTTACAGGAATATGGTACGTTATGTTCGTTCTCTCTTCTTGTGATGATGAATATCTTAAATATCATGCCTGATGATTTACTTATTGTATCATAAGTAGTAGACACTTGTAAGAGTTATGGTTCATCCATATGACGCCTAAATATTTCATCCATATCTCACATCTCACCATTGTTGTGTTCTGGGATTTGGGATACCATTTTGTGTGACATAAAAATGAATATTGTTAGGGTGTTCTTAACGTGACTCAAAATGTTAACCTTATGTTCTTGTGAATGGTTTCTCGTGTTTTTAAGGCTATTCTTTGACTTGTACCATCTCTTAACTTTTGTTATCGCAGGGCCGAATGCTTCACTTCAAAATACCCCAAGGAATGGAGGTGGTCGACTTAATTCCTCAATTGGATCATCCAACCAAGGTACAATCCCAAACAGCAAAAGTAGGCAGCAAACGAGCCGCTTTGGAGCTAATATTCACACCTTGCAACATAATGACGATGATGAAAGTCGGTTCAATAACAGAAACACCTTTTGGAATGGAAATTCCACAGAGTTTGATGGCAATGATGATGAGCCCAAGTAAAGTTGACCTTTTATAATTTGGGTGCTGTATAGGACCAACAGCTGGATGCTTTGCTTTCTTCTTACTAAATCGACGATGAATGTGGAGCTACATTTGGGAGTGGACATGTTTATGCCTCATGTCGCTAATAATATAAGTTGTTCTGTTCGTGACATTCTTGATGTAACAGAAATTTCACTTCATAATCTATTTATGGTTTTTATGTTGACTTGTTTCTTCAGAACAGACATCTTATATTACCGACGCTTCACTATGAAGATATTCATTTTATTTTTATTTTTTTTAAAAAAATAGAGTGAATTAGAAATGAAAAATGTGTCCTTCATTGAAACCCTTTCAAGTGAGTGTATGGATAGTCGTTAAATCACATGTGCTTTTTCATTCAAACTAGTAATCACCCGTGCGATGCACGGGAAAATTATAATCTATGTGCTTTTTAGAAGACAATTTTGCATATAAATTGTGTAATAATGTAATGATCATAATATAAACATATAATTAAACTGAAAAATTTATATATTATTGAACACTTTTTTATATACAACATTATTGATTTGATTCTTTGGCTCTTCCCCACAAATTAAGATTTTTAAACCTTTTCGGCTAGTGACACTGAGAGACAGCGTATAACTGGCCATGTCCGAACACTGGTTTATTAAGAAATAAGTCAACATTAGATAAGGATTTGTCTCTGGCTCTCATGTCCGAAAACTGGTTTATTAAGAAATAAGTCAACATTAGATAAGGATTTGTCTCTGACTCTTGTTTATAGTCATGACGTAAGAAACATAATGAGAAACTGTCTTATCTCTTTATACCGATATATGTGTATTTAACATGTGTTAGTATTATATTAGTTGTTTAGATAACCACAAAGTGTTGTTTTGTTGTTGACTCTATCAATCACAAACTATTACCAGTTTGATGATTAAAAAACGTTTTAAATTCTGTTATGTTTTAAAAATTTTAAATAATTATTTAAAAAATAAATTATAATGCTAGTGTTATGTACCCCAACTGCTCTTTTTATTATGTATAGATTATTTGCTTGAATATGTTATTTCTTATAATTACTTAATAATGTGAGGTGTTGATATTATTTATTCCATTATTACGTTTCATAACCAACTCTGCCGTGAAAAAAATTACAATATAAAGAAATAATGTTATTTTTTATGTATGGGGCTCTAATATTTACTATTAATTTCTAAATAATTTATTTTATATATTGTATTTGTTGTTCGAAAATTTTAATTATTACAAAATCCTACAGTTCGAGCTTCTTCTCCTCTCGCCGATCAGCTCCCTCAGCCGGCGTCCGTCATCGTCGGTGGACGACCTCCTCCGCTCATCCATGGATGCGGCTCTACCTTCCTCTGTCTCGTCTTCGCTGAATTAGGGCTAGGGTTCCGGCTGGACAAATTTCCGCTCGAGGCCGCCGGATTTCAGTGGTTGGGACATGGCGGGGTGGGGTTGCGTGTGGATGATGCTAGTGTCGTTGAAATCAGCTGTGGTCGGGCGCCTTTAATCGGCCTGTGTTGGAGGATTGCCGTGGGTCTTCCGATTCCCGCAGGGGTTGGGTCGCCGGCAGCAGAAGTTGGGTCGCCGGCGCTGCGCGTTTGTGGGGATGGAGGGTCATGGCTTCTACTGGCAGGTTCGGTTGATATGGGTGCTCGTTTGGGCTTGGTTGAAGCGGCCGAGCTGGGAAGGCGCTCGTCCCCTTACTCCCCTTGCTTGATTTCCGAGATTTGGGGGAGGCCGACGGTCCCCGGAGTAGGCTAGTGGTGTTAGGCTGCCTCGGTTGGGTGTCGGATCGGCTAGTGGTGTTAGCCGGTGGGGTGGTGTGAGTGGTTTTCTGCGGTTGGAGAAAGGGTCGCGTTCTCGGTCTGTTTCGCGGCTTCGGTCATCGTCTTGCTAGGCCTTAAGCAGTGGTGGGCGTGGTATCGGAGTTTTGGAGCTCTCCTCGGAACCGACTTTGTCTGCTAACCTTTTCGGATGTACCTGCTGCGGGAGGTTGTTATGTTAGTGTGTAGTTGTATTAGGTTTCTTTGTTTGTTTGCTGTGGTAGGATCGTGTTTTGGTTTGGGCTCTTTGCCTGGGTGTTCTTATTTGTCTTTTAGGTTTGGGCCGTTGGCCTCAGTACTCCCGAGTGTCATTTTCATTACTCTGTTGGAGTCCGACACTCGGGAATTGCCCTGTTGGGGCCTTTGTGTTATTAGTTGGTGTTTTTTCTTTTTAGTTCCTTGAGTATTACCCCGTTGGGGTCGATTCTAGGCAGGCTTTTGTCCTGTTCTCCCAGTTTTAGCTATTGGCTGCTTGTATTCAGCCGTTGGCTGTTTTTCTGCACATTTGTGCGTTATATATAATATCTCTGTCGTTCCGTAAAAAAAATAAAAAGTTCTGCGTGGTTATATTATTAACTTAAACATTGGAAGACAAAAAAAATAATGTATTAATTCCTGTGTTCAATGATATAGGTTTGATTTTGTTTTATTTAAATTTAAAATAAAGTGATGAATGTTTGCAAATTATAATTTACTTAGCTTTTAACATCTATATTAGTTAAAAATGTTAAAAAAAAAAAGAAATAATTTTCCAGTGCTTTATTTGTAATTTTATTTATTTCGATTACCAGTGTTATGTATTAAATATTAAAATAATCACTATAGATACATAAACAGTGTTGTACATTATTAGCCATAAAAATCAATATCATTAATAACCATTAATATCCAAATATAAAATCAAACAAATTGAACTCCAATAATAAAACCTAAATTATTCATGTTGACGAAGCCAACTTATTCAATGAAAGTACTCAAAGCAAATGAAATCCTAATATAATAATAAAACACTTTAGTAAACCAATAACATCTTAGCCAATCTATTCTTCATCAAAATTTTCTTCATTTCATCATCTTGCTCGTCCATCTTTACTTTGAGCAACAAATCCTGCCTCATCTTCTATTAGCTCCATTAGATTTACTTTGCATTAGAAGTGTCGCCAACCTTCTCTTTACCTTTGAGAGATTTCAAAGGTGTTGAAACTTCATCTTCTCCAATGCAGTTTTATGAAACAATTTATAAAATACACAAATTTTATTATTTAAATTATATATAATTATTTGTATGAAATAAATTTGCAATTTTAAAGAAAAATAATAAGTGTGAAAAATGAACATTGACCTTGCCGTTGTTAGCCTCTTCACGTTGTAGTAAAGTTAAGAAGTCAGACTCCTGTAAAACCTTATAGAAAAAATTATAAGTTCTCGAATTTAATCATACTTTATAAATCAACATGATTATGTTTTTGTTTATTAAACTTACTTCTTTTTCGGTAACCCTCTGACTGTACATAGATACCAGATTTTCATCACCAATCATCCCAACAACAGAAAATGTTGCTGCTGCTTCCTTGAAATTCGACCTCCGTATAAAAAAAACATAATATTAAGAATTATGGTAAAATATGAGAAGAAAGATTAATTATTAATTTTGATTGTGATTCATACCTCAATGTCATGAAAGACAATTTCAAGGATGTTCTTGTAGGAGGAGTATTCATTAGTCCTTTGAAAAAACCGAACCACTCTTAACTTCTGTATAGACCTGTTGGTCCTTGTTATTTGGTTGATGTTGCCCCATGCTCTTGCCATTTTTCTGCTGGTATGTGAAATGCTAGTGTTTAAGATGTGTTGTGATAGGTTATCTACGTTGGGAAGTTCATTTATAAGCATGGGATGATGATGATGATGATGATAATAATGAAATCTATAATGATAAGACTAATTTAAAATATGAATTTGAATAACTTCAAACTGTGAGCTGATGATAAGATAAGTTCAAATGATTTGAATAGTAAATTAATTGGTTAGTAGTTAAGATTTTTTTTCGTCTACAAAGATGACCACGAAATCTACACGTGTGTACTTATTTTAATTATGTTTTTTGAACCTCATTTGACTAACTTTAAATTGTGATTTGATAATAAGATAAGTCACAATTATTTGAATAATTAATTAATTAATTTGGTTGTTTAGTTTTTTTTTTCGTGTAGAAAGATTGACTGAGACACGTGTTTAATCATTAAATGCATTTCTATTAGTATTTTAGCATGGTATTAAAATTATAGCATTATATTATTCAATGATAAATATTAAGGATTCTTTATTGTATTTATGTTATTTAAAGGTGTTGTTTAAATTATGATGACCGATGTAATTTGTTTAGATTACAATTTATTAGGAATTGTGATGTTATTGTAATTTATTTTAACAATTTTTTTCAAATTAATTTATGTCCTCTTTTATAATGTTTTATGTTGTATGGTTCCTATTCCTATTAAAACATGTATCTATTCCTATTAAATTTGTACGTCTTCTTTTATGAGGTTTTTAAGTTTGTATGGTTCCTAGTAAAACATGTATTTGCATTATATTATTTGAATTGTTATTTATCTAATGTCAAGTGTAATTATAAATTTAAATTGAAGAGTAATGCATGTATTTGTATTATATTATTTTAATTGTTAGTTATCTAATGTCAAGTGTAATTATAAATTTAAATTGAAGTAACCAAAATTAGGTGTTTTGAGTTAATTCAAAATCTTAAGTGCATGTATCCAAATGTAGATGATGCAATAAATTTGCACATGTGCTTCAATTCTCACTTCCATATAGGATGAATCTATTGAGGATAATCGGAAACAAATTTCCTTTGGATGGCGATGGGTCACTACCCAGATCTTGAGAGAAACAGATGAGATGAGCTCCGATCTGCCTGAATTGTCGTGCGTGTACTTGCAAGAACTCAACGCTACAAAGGGTTCCAACAAAGAGTCTCCGACGCTTAAGTCAGTGCCAAGAAGATGATGGCAGTGTTCTGTGAATAAGAGCATTATATAATGTATATAGAATTTAAAGTTAGGGTTTGGTGATACCCCAGTCCCATTTACAGAAAAGTACTCTCTCGAAATGTTCTGCACTAGTGCCCGCGGGCAGCCAGCCCGACTGCTCGGACTTAATACTTATCCATATCCCAGTCATATCCAGTCATCATTAGATTCCATCTTAACTTCTCAAGATTCCTTCTTATTCTGGTTCCTTGCCTACTCAGGTTGCAATTTGTATATGTCGCTCCTACTAGTCAAGGTTGAATTCTATTGTCCTCTAGGTGGTTAGGTCATCTAACATCTTCCTGTTAGGGTCTCTAGGTCAATTATGGGTTAGCTCATCCTCTGGCCTCAGATCGCTATGCTTTATGTCGTCTTTATGGTTCCCATGTCGCCTTATG